TAAAGAATTCTGAATTTAATAATAAAAATTATTAAATAATAATATTTAATAAAATAAGTTGATTTAATAAATTTATATCATTAAATAATGATATTTAATAAATTTATATTATTAAATAATAATATTTAATAATCTATATTATTAAATAATAATATTTAATGATCTATATTATTAAATAATAATATTTAATAAATTTATACTATTAAATAATAATATTTAATAATCTATATCATTAAATAATAATATTTAATAATCTAGTCTATTAAACAATAATATTTAATGATATTTACTATTAAATAATGATATTTAATGATATATATCATAAAATAATAATATTTAATAATATATATCATAAAATAATGATATTTAATAATATACTTTGTTAAATAATGATATTTAATGATATATTTCATTAAATAATATATATCAATAACTCTAATATATATTAATATATATTAAATATTTATTTTAATATGCATCAATAACTCTAATATATATTAATATATAACTAATAATAAAAATCAATACAAATTACTCCAAAAAATTTTCTGATATATACAATATTAAAGATTAATAAAATATATTCTTTATTTAAAAATCCAGATCAAATTGTAATAACTTTTTCTTTTCTTTCTCTTTTAATGATTTTGAATTTTTAAATAATCATCCAAATCTTTTTCTCAATATATAATCAATTTTAATCATACTATTAATATTCTTTATATAGTTACCTCCTATTTCAAAAGAACAAAATATCTTATCAAATGATTATATTATTTTCTTAATTAAAACTGTTAGAATACCAAGCTATCATTTTTATTTTTATAATATTTATTATTAATTTTCTAAATGCATACTCTTTAAGTATACACAATCAGCTGGTCCTGAGGATGTACAGTAATCTATCAAAAGTTATCAGACATCATATGATCTCCAGTCATTTTATAAATAATACTATTTATTTGGATTAGATTTTCTTTACAATAACTTTGTTGATTTTATTATTCTTTTTTTTTCTTGAATTTACTTTACTTCAACTTTACAACATGCTAAATTATTCTTCTAAAAGTTTTGAATTAATAAATAAAATTATCAAACAAAAAGAGCTCTCTATTTTTGAGTATAGAGAAATTATTGGTACTTGGAAGTGTGAAATTAGTGTACAAAAAATTGTTGAAATATTAAATCAGTTAAAAAGTACTATACAGGATATTATTTCTGTTTACCAAAATTCTAATTGTGAAAAATCCCCTCCCTGAAGTGACAGATCACGTATAATAATAGAAAGAGATAGTTATCATTTACAAAGAATTCTTAAAGAAAATTGATGCACAAATCTTCAAGAATTACATGAAAAATTTGTTACCTCTATCTCAACTAATATAAGTATAATTACTATTCAACATTACTTACATGAACAAGATTTCTTTGGTCAGATTAGAATCAGAAAACTGCTTGTGAATGAAGTTAATTGGCAAAAGAGACTTCTCTGGGTTTGGGAATGGCAAATATGGGAAAAAGAATGGGAAACCATTATTTGAAGTGATGAATCTAGATTTGAATTATTCAGAGAAGATGGTAAGAAGTATGTTTGAAGACAACCTCATGAAAAATATGATGTTGGATGCCTTATTCTAATATTTAAATCAGGTCAAAAAGGAGTAATGATGTGAAGTTGTTTCACAAAAAATGGTCTTGGTCCGTTAGTTAGATTGGAGGGGAGACTGACAGCTAATGTGTATATAGATGTGCTAAAAATCATTTATTACTATTTTAGATACTCTAGATAATAAGGAGGATTATGTTTTTCAGGAAGATAATGCACCTGTTCATACAGCAAGCAAAACTAAAAAATAGAAGATAGAAAATAATATAAGTAGTATTCCGTGGCCCACCCAGAGCCCTGACTTGAATCCCATAGAACATTTATGGGATGAATTAGAAAGATGAGTTCGAATACATGAACCATTATCCAAAAATTGTGAAGAATTATGGCAAACACTCCAGAACGAGTGGCTGCAAATTGATGAAAGTAAATACAAAAATCTCATTGATAGTATGCCACGTCGAGTTGCAGCAGTCATAGCTAGTAATGGCTACCCAACAAAATATTAATAAACAAAATGAAACAGTTTATTTTCATCTTACAAATAAACCAAAATTTGTTGAAATTGATACGGTAGTTGTCAGGATAATCCAGTTTTAAGTTGGCAACAAATTTGCATTGATGATGATCGTCATCAAGTGTCCGGTGATTTATGATAGGCCACTGTACATAGAGGGACTGTATACTAAATATATATTTTCATTTTTTTATTATAGCTAAATTTTTAGATGGATAATTTATTGAATAAATTTTTGTAGAACTATCACGACCGGAGAAATTACCGAAAAAACAACGGCGTCCCTAAAACGGTTAGCGATGTTACATTGGTGATTGAACACCCTAATGCATAACCGTAATGTATGATAACCTTCCTATTTGTCCTGTAAAATAGATATTGTTACGCCTATCCGTCCTATTGATGGGATAGTGTGTAGGATTCAAATGAGCTTTCTTGGGGCATCGGATCTCTTTTGTTGGGTATTTAACGGACTTATGCCAGTATTACGGTTACTGTCGATGCAAAAGATGAGTGTATTTATGTAATGTAGAGGATTATTAGAGAAGGAAGAGGGGAGATTATGCTGCTAACAAGGATGGAATCACGAGTGATGATGCTGTACAAAGTCCCTTCACGTTCAACTATCCTACAAAGGGAAGCGATTAAAGCGACTATCAAGAAACACGGCTTTCTTCCGTTAAAGCGACAAAACCCGAATTAACAAAAGCAAGAGATAATTCTTCTTTATTTACTTTGAACTTTATTTTTCACTTGTTCTTGATTGAAGCTCAAGAACGGGCCTGTTTTCATTAATTTTTATGTATATATTATAGTACATGTTTGTTTATATGTTTTGAAGCAAATGGGCGAAAAACTATGCTAAAAATTAGACTAATGACTATTCTATTTTTGTAGGATGGGCGAAACATTATACCAAATGCTCAGAATAGTGTACTAAATGGCCATAATGTACAGAATGTTCGAAACAATTGGCTGGATGGTCAGAATAATGTAGTTTTCGTTAAAAAATAATTATTTAGTTGTTCGGATGTTAACAATCTATTACCAAAAGAAGAAAAGGCCGAATAAAGTTCTTACTACATGTATATAATAAAAAATAACGATCGTTGTAAATTGAACAATGTTCTGTTTATTGTTATACAAGTATTGTTATCGTTATAAATATGGGAGGCGCATGACAAGGTGCCACAGGATGATCACATGCAGAGGAACATGTCGGAAAAAGTACGGGTTCCTTAGCGTAATTATTGAATTCTGCATGTTATTGGTAACAATATGTTCAACGTTAGACTCTCGTTGTATTTCACGATAAATATAATAACGATAGTTGATAACCATAAAAGATGACGACTCATTCTTTACAACAGATTCTAATAAGTGAAATAGCAGCACTTTTAGAAGATACCGAAGACCAAGATTTTTCTATAAAAGTCGGTCAAGGCAACGACGTTAAAATTTTCACAGCTCATTCTTTAATTTTGCGCGCGAGATCGCAATATTTTAAAGTTGCTCTATCACAATTGTGGATTCGTAATATGCAACCAATTATTTTTGAAAAAATTCTTAGGTAAAAATATTTGCCGAGTCCTTTCTTGAGTTACATGTACATTCACAAACTAATGTCAAATATTTTACTAGTTATATTTATACTGGCGATATTATTTTATCTTTGAAAGACGAGAATATTTTTAATATCCTCGTTGCTGCCGACGAGCTGATTCTTAAGTCGTTA